TTTGGATATCTGTGTGTGTGTTTACACATAAATGCATATGTGTGTATACATGTATGAACATATAGAATTTACTATATATAACTAAGAAAAAAATTGATTTGGTGAAGGGAAGGGTAGAAAACTTATCATAATGGAACATTGTGACTGCAAATTTTAAGCCATGACAAGCCAAGAAATTCAGAATTATGTTTCCTGCAGCAACCGTAATTTGTCTACGCTGGTCATAAATACACAAGTGTAAATTTAGGCGCATACACACAAATACAGGAAACTTCATTATGTGCAAGGGGACTAAGTTACAGTTGTAAATTTGCAAATTTGAATTTCATGCCTGTTACGTGTTTAAATTTCCTATGATAACACTGAATTAATGTAGTTCCACCATGGATTAAGAAATGCTTAGCTATTACAGGACTGTAGCTTTCATTTTGATGAGACTATGACGTTGCATTAAAACTGTGTAGTTTATGTACATATTTCTCCAAAACATGGGCAATGCAGGACTGTTAAAGCTTGACAGCCGCGATGCTGCTAAGTCTCATATTTTTCTGACTCAAACTGGTGATGGCAGTAAAGCGTGGCTGGCTTTTTAATAGTTTGGCTGCTGTGGAGTTGCTAACCCAGTTTTTGGTACCTGTCGTTGTTAACCTTGCGTTTGTGTCGCCACTGTCAAAATAGTACAGCTTTTTCCTTTGCCATGTTTGTCGCTTGTTAGTTGTGTCCCCCCATTGTGTCTTCAGCCGGCAGCAGGGAGGGAACTGAGCAAACAGCCACAGCACAAAACTTTTCCTGTCCCCTTGGCATGTTGCACTCATGGTCACTGCATCTGGGAAAATGTGTTGTGTTTTTTTTTTTCTTAATGCCAAATATTTGTGGAAAGCACTAAGGTTCATCCTGGTTTTCAGGACTGTGGGCTATAGACACTCTGGCCTTGTGCTGGCTCATTCGCTGGCACTGTCTGTGCGTTATCCTCTGGAGGTGGGGGCTTCTGCCATGTGTTGCATTTTCTCTCCCGTGCAACTGTGAGGTATCTGGATCCAGACTAGCTGATGATCCTTTGCTGTGTGTGGACAAACAGAGACTACGCTTTACAGTGACCACTTGATTCCTCCCGCTGTCCAGAGTAGTGCCCTGGTGTGGCAACTACGCAGAGCCCAAGTATTTGCTATTTTATGCTGACAGATGAGTTCCGGTGGATCCTGTTGCTGCTTAAGATAGCTTCCCCCAATGCCTCAAGCTGCTGCAATACTTCATCCAGCATATATTATCATAAACAACTGAAAGTGGCAAATTTCAGCTGACTACAGTGGGCTGTGAACTGCAGTGGTGGAGGAATGAGCATGTGATTGTTTTATCAGCTGCTGCAGGGGCAGTAATCTTGGACAGAAAGGTAGAGCAGAGGGCTGGGGATGAGGAATGCCCTAAACTATCACAAACACATGTAGAAGAGTCACAGCCCTGAGATTTCAGTGATGCGCTCTTCAGGTACATCTAGGCACAGGCAAGGCAGGCTGGCACAGCAGGCTTACAGCACTGGTGTCCAGCTACTCATTTCTATACTAAAATTAGCATCCTGAGAGGGAAAAGCTTGCGGTTTTAGCAAGTACTTGGCTTATTTATTAGCCAGAGAAGGAAGTGTGGCTAATGACTAGTAGAAATGTATCATTGAGGGTGGATCATCATACAGTTCCATTTCATTATTAAAAAAAATGATAGTAATTCAGTACTCCTAAATGCTTGTACCTTGGGTGATTGAAAAATGTGACATCATTATTTGCAATATTCCCTACAACATAGGCTCAGTGGAGTCTTGTAGATAGTGTAATTACTGGGAAAGCACTCTTGTTTTCTGAGGCTGTTGAAAAATGTCAACGATAGTGCGCTGTAGTGTTTGAAATGCAAAGTAAACAGAACATTTAAAGTAGTGCTGTGGTGGGACCAAAGAAGTGGTACAGAGCTGTATGCGCATCATCAGTGCTGTCCACCAGGCCTGGCCAGCACCTCGCAGCAGCACACTGCAGGTGGGATCAGTTCTACCTTTTCCTAAACTTCTTTTCAGTTCCCCAGAAACCTAAGGGGGGCAGTCAGGCAGTAGAAGGAGGGATGGTGGGGCTTCCAGGCTTGGGCAGTGTGCTAGGAGTCAGCCAGCACGCAGGCAGCGGAGCCAGTCAGTGTCCTGTTAGCTTCTCCGAGCACTATGCTGGAGCACACCTAAGTTGTGAAGAGGATGTAGCTGGGACTGGCGGCTGGAGATGACAGCAGAGTGTGGGAAGAACACACTACTCTCAACGGGAGCCTCTAAAGTGCCTGTAAATTCATAAGGAAACAGTCTTTGGGGCTGCCGTTTGCCTTGAACCTGGAAAGGGATCAAAGTCAATGGGCTTTAGATGCTCTGTCATTAAAGGGCAGGACAGTTTAGAAAGGAGGACAGTGATGGCAACAGGATCTGTTGGACCACAGTTTGTATTTGCTGGGGTGCCTGAATACAAACTTAGTAACTTCATTTTGACCTGCCAGTCGGAGACTCTTGTCCTATCTTCTTCGCATTTTAGGTGTAGCTAATAAACAATTATGTAGCTCATGTAGCTCTACAACAAACAGATCAATACATTTGAGAACTAGGAATTTTATCCTTATACTAAATTTAGTGTTGATACAATACTTACTGCAATGATATTGACTGCAGCCAGGTGGTGAAGGGACAGTATAATACGGGATTATGGCCTTGCCTTTTACCATAAAAGATTTTTCTGCATTATGAGGCTATGAGAAAAGGTTAGTACCTAATAATAAAAAAGCTACACTTACTGTTTTAAGCATTTGTCCTTCCAGTCTTTGTAACGCACACAAGTGTACACACATGTGTGCACACACAAAATTACAACAATTCTCTATCTAGGCTAATAACACCATGGACTGAGTCAAAGAAGCAGTTTTCTTGTAGACTTGATAATTCAGGAGGGCCAGACCCTACAGTTTATTACATCTTTGAGTAACTTTGCTCACATGGAATTTGGTGACATAGATAATGTAAGTCAGACTGTTCCAGGTACATTTGCAAGGTCTAGCCACATTGGGTCCTTGTGTACATCACATTTTAAGTGGGAAAGAGAATGCTGTTTTCATGTGCCTGACATAATCCTGCTTCTTTTGAAATTAATAGCAAATACTCACTCACGATGAATTGTGGGTACTCTGCTCCTTTCAGGGTTTAGGATGTTACTGAGTTACTTGAACATGTACTTATTTTTCTTTAGTGTCGTTGTACCTGTAGGAATGAAAGTAGGCACCTGCCCAAATGGAGGAGTCATGGTTAGGCTCATGAGCCACATCTTCTGGTTGAATAATTATATGTCCTGAAGGTGGGAGGTTCGGTGAGTTTTGGATTAGTCCCCACAAGCTTTGAAGTGTGTTCAGTAGGTTTCTGAAATATAGCAGTGGTAAATATAGTGGTAGATAGGAGTGAGGTGAGAATATAGGGGTCTACTGCAGGATTGTAACTTTATTTACACTAACACATGTATCAGGCTGTTGACTGAGGAGTATCTCCAGCATTTGCAGCTGTGACTTTTGTATAGCAGAGGAGATATTTACATTTCATTCATTAGTGTTTTATCAAAAGCTCTTGTGTGGTGGATTTATTGTGCAAGTTTTTTTTAATTTGGTGTGCAGAATATGAATTTATTTGACAAGTTTATTCCTTTAACAAGTTGGATAATCATTTGTGATTCACAATTTTATTCACTGGGGGGTTATTAATTTAAAACTTGCACTGTATTCCTTATCAGATATTTATTGACTGGTTTACACTGTACAGAACAGGATTTGAGTAAATCAGCATGCTGTAAATTTGCCTTTTTAACAGGTTTATGGCTTTAGCAGGTATTCACTTAGGATTTCACTGCTCCATCATAAAACATTCCCAGGCATGGAATACATTTTTGAGTGAGATAATATACTGTATAGACCAAGGTGTACACATCAGCTGTCATATACATATAAGCAAAATAAGAAAAGATGTTTTCTCCTGCAGACCCCAACAATCTTGCGCAAAAGTACTTATTCCAAATTTCAACTGCAGTGTATTAATGGGAGGCAGAAGTAAGGTATTACATGGTCTAGAGGGCATGAAAGAAGAGCATTACCATTTCCTTTTGGTTCAGAGGGGGAAACATCTTAGCAAAGGCGAGATCTGAAACTCATTGACTCTGGGGAAGTTTCATCAAAACTGAAAAATTAATAATTATTTTGTTCTCTTTCTCTTCCTGTTTTTGCAAATAACAAGTTACAGTGTTCTGACCATGAGACGAGGTCTTTCTGTCTGCAGCAAAGATGCCCCTTTATGTTTAAGAGTCTGTTGTGGTACTTGTGGAACTACTAATTATGCTAACAGCAATACTTTTTTTTGTTGTAGATGTTTGGATGTCTATAAAAACCACAGGGAAGTGAACTGATCCCTCTTTTTAAGCCAAAGTGTGTTTCTTATTGTAGCCTTCTAATAAGGCAGCACTGGCTGATAAGACTTTCTTAGAAATTGGACAGTATGAATGATAAACATATTGTGTTATATAAGAATTATATAAAATACATATCAATTTTATACACTAATGCGATAAGAATTTTTGAATCTGTAAAAAATCTGAAAAATGCTTTTTAAAAGTGCAATTCTACCCGGTGAATAATCATGTTAAAATGATCTCTTCCTTTTAAAGAGCTCTCATCCAAAACTCTATCTATTCAGGCTCATAAGTGCTGATTTTAGCAAACAAAACAAGTTTTTTCTTCTGAATGAATGAATCAAAGTGATTGTGAGGGGATCTTTAAAAGACATTTCCTAGTATAAAAACTTGCATCTCAGTTGTTTATAAGGCCAGTTTGCACTTCAAAAAGCATTTCAGAAAGCTTCTAAAATGTGTACTGCGTTATACAAGTTCAAAACAGTTGTAGGTATACCTACCAAATCCAGCCACTTATAAAGGTATGTGTTTTAATTTTTTTAGCCACTCAGCAGATATCCACCTTTGATCAATGACATCTCCTTTTGGCTGCCTTCTGAGACATACTCTAAGAATGATTTCTATGATTTGGCTCGAACCGTTGGTGGAGACCTGATAGAAAAGGTTGTCCTAGTGGATGAATTTACCCATCCAAAGTAAGTAAAACTTTTAACATGTTTTTCCTGTGGTCAGAATACAAATATTTTACTTCTGTATACCAAGAAATTCTTGATTCTTACAGTGTTTGCACATTTAAATTTTTAGCTCCAAAACATTTTTACAACACTTTTTAGAATAAATATTTTTACTTAAAAACATTATTTTATATTTCAGTTTTGTACTAGTACTGAGTTTCTGGTGTTCAGACCGCAACCCCAATGTGTTGTGCTCAGTTAATCACAGCAGCAAATAACTGCCTTCCTCAATACATCTGCCAGTGCGTGACACTCTTATCCATAACATGTCTGATATTCTTGCCCTGCTCTTTGCTGAGTGACTGGTGTTTGTCTCCTTGTTCTCTTCCTTTCTTTTTCTAGTCCTGATTCACTAGTAGACCTTTACTATAAATGTCAGGGCTAATAATGATTTGTTGCAAAATACTATTGTTGGTGTTCAACAGGGAGAAGAAAATAGACATTGTTCCTTTCTTTCTGACACTTATTTGCGCCGTTGAACAATCTCTCAGGCTTCAGAATACCTTCTTATGGATATAGCAGCACTGACAAGATCATTGGATGCACAGGTTACTTGTCCAACAGATACTATCTGTTGTCTCAAAAACTGACAAGTATCAGTTATTACATATGCACTGTTTTTCAATTTGCTGTTTCCAAATCAAGAAGTAAATATGCTGCTGGCTAGCCAACTTTCTAAAAAATGGGTTTTAAAATAATTTCTTTTCTTTAAGACTCTTTTTTTTGGTGCTGTAGAAAGGCAGGTAGTAAACCTAACTGCAGTGGTTTTTGAAGGTGATAGGAAAATGCTTCATGTTGTGCTCCGACACCTATAGTTTTTTGTTGGTTTTTTCTTTCTACATCCAGGTATTTGAACCTGTTGTTCTTTTGAATTTGATGTGTGTTGCAGACTGGATGGGTAGATTATTCTATGGCCTAGTTTTCATGGTGGTGCAGTGGATTAATATTTATTTGTTTTTTTTTTTCCTTTTTACCCTTTTTGTGTGGTGTTATATGAGACTGTTTTTGCTGGGTGAAGAAACAGAAATGCCAATGGAATTTCTGTGGGCATCTGAAAGCTTTGAGTCATTAATTCTTGAATGGTCCTCACGTGCAAATCATGCAAAAGGATCTTACCCTTATACTCAAAATGGTGTATCCAGCAGAGGAATATAGGCTAGGATAAGATAAATGAGTACTATTCATTGTAAAGAACAATAAGACCGTATCTTACAGAGAAATTCAAAAGCAAGTTTCTTGCGGGTATGGATAACTTCTTATTGTCACTGGGACTGCACCCTAATATCAGTCAGCACAAGTCCATCGACATTGAAGGCTGCTCACATGGATCCTGCTGAAAATATATTTAATGGTCTTCTATCATGATGGTTCTGATACAGTACAATCAACATTTTTTGCAAAAATTGGGATGTTAGACCCATTTTTGGAACTGGTCCTTTCCATTCATTCATGCTGAATGTTTATTGTATGTATAACACCTCTGTGTTCATGGCCACTTTTTGTCTATATTCTTCCTGGTGATACCAAACATGCAATCATCTTTGTTGTTACATCTTCTCTTGGGGGGAAAACCCTGTGTGTAGTGTAAGCAGCTCTTCCAAGGCTGAAGGTTTGGAGAAATCTTGTTCCCTGCTCCCTCAAACAGAGGCAGTATTATTCTGTGATTACTCTTGCAGCTCACTGGAGGAACCCACATACACTGAGAGCGCCTTGCCAGCAGCCCTGCATCAGTCATGGCTCAGCTCATGGGTCATGCTTCCCTTCTTTACTGAGAATATTATCTTCCATGCTAGTAGAGTGGTGAGGTAGGGACAGGATTCACTACTCTGGATTTCTACTATATATGTTTTCTCCTTTGATATGCTTTGACACATCCTGAACATATAGCAGGGGTGACAGTTGTTCACTACAAGATCATTTCTTCCTCCACAAGGGATACACCTCTGGTTCCCTCTGTGACTTCTGCAAATAGATGGGAAGGATGACTGCTTACTGAGAATTGTCACACAGATTTAGGACTTTCCTAAATTGTCCTCTAAAGCCATTAAACCCTCACTCAGCAGACATCCAAATATGTTTTGACACTACAAGAAGGAAACATTTCTCACCTTCATGTCTGAAGAATGTGGGTGGTGACACTAATGGATTGCTGATAAGTGATGTTGTAGTCCTCTTAGTTTGTTCAACTGCTACAACAATAGAATAAATCTTTTAAAATGCCCCATTAAAAAACAGTAATTCCAAGGAGATTATGCCCCATTAAAAAAAGAATTATAGATAAAGACTGTAACATAATAGTTACTTTGCCCTTTCTCCTTAGAACAGGGTGTGTGCAGATATGTGACTTTTGCGGACCAATGACGTAAGCTGTGTAAGTTATTTTGTCTGTTCTCTGAAGCCTTTGGAAGACTGACTCTTTGGAAAGAGTGTTCTGCTTAGTCTTAATTCCAAGATAATTGTCTTGTTACAGGAACAATACAGTGGCTTCTTTAATTCAGTGTTGCAGAAAAGTCTCTGGGCACAGAAGTTAACATAAGAGATCCTCAGTGCTGCTATGGATCTGTATGTTACAGATATAGATGCTTGTAATCATTATCTTGAATTTGTAGTGATTCCGGTGTGGAAGATGGGAGAAAAGTGTATAGGATAGGGAAGCCAGCAGTGCTGCTGTCTTGAATGTTAGTTACTTACAAGCAGCTTAATAAGTTCATGCTTGTAATTAATCACTTCTGGAATTTAAAATGCAGACTTTTTTCATCCTTTAAAAATACCAGTTTCATGAGGAATTAGGATATTCGGCAGTCTTATTTTCCTTCTTAAACTACCTTTCTTAGTTATAGGGCTATAAAGACTGGAAAACAGAAAGTGCTATACAAATAAAACTAATTTAGAACACAGAAAGAGGTCTTTTAATTAAGAACCTTTATAAAAGCTGTCTTTGTGATACTCTGTAGTTACCTTACAGACTTTTCTGTGGTTCAGAAACCTTTCAAGGTTCCACTGGGCTTCGGACTGTTAACCATGCTCCAGTACATTGCAATTACAGTGTGTATTAGCAGTGAAAATGTATTCCTCTACAGGGAAGAGGAAAGGAGGGAACAAAAGCATGAGACAAGTAATTGTTTAAACAAGGAAGAGATGTCTGGGAAAAAAAGTAAATCTTGATTATCTGCTGTGTAAGGTGATAATGTTGAGCCATCTTCCAGGAAAGCACAGGCAATTAAAAGATACAGCAAGCAGGAGTCTCATTGCTGAAAAGCACAAATTTAGGGGAATGTCAAGTTACTGTGCTAGGGTAATTAAGAACTGTTCCAGCCTAAATGCATCTTACATAAACTTAACTAAACAAGACACAGCATTGAGGTGAACTGAGTAATGTGCAATGTGTGAAGAAAGCTTTCCAGAAAATAAACTTTTTGGTTCAGTTTAGTCTGCAAAAATTTTATTTTCTTTTCCTTACAGCTGAAACTAATTGTAAAGGATGCCAGTCCAGTGAGGCTCAATCAATTATAAAATGTTTCAAGCAGAAAGTTATTTCATACTGCAGTCGCATGTTACTTTGAGGTGGAAAAATAAGCATTCCCTATTAGAAAATAATGTACTAGCAGTAGTTGGGACATGTAGACATTTCTGTATTTATCTCTCTTGAATTTTGTCATTCCTCTAAATTCCTGTTCACCAGTGCAACAGGTAGACCACACAGAGCAAAGAAATCCATGTGCTCTGTTCTAAGCAGAGAACTGAGTTTTAGCAACTAAGTTGAAGTAGGTAGCTTTTTTTTTTGCATAAAATGATTCTGGAAACCAGGATGACTGTAGGGATGCTCAGCAAGAGTCCTCTGATCCACAAGAACTTCCTCCCTTTGCTTTTATCCCAGCAATTCCAAACAAGTCCACCTGCCCCAAACTCTTCTTTTGAATCAAAAGCATTGAACTAAAAGGAGAACATGGACTTTTCAGACGTCTGCAATCCCCACACACCTCTCCACATTACAGATGTGTGTCTGCACAAGGTATCATGTGAGAGGAGACGGCCTATGGATCTCAGCTGCCAAACAGCACTTGGGACTGCTCAGGGGGCGTAGATCCGCGATCAAACTGGGAAATCTGGGAACAGGAGATCCTTGAACAAGAGAGGAGCATCACCTATGTGAGATATGGCTCTTGCATTCAAAATATGCATCTGGGGGAGGGAGAGAATAGTACGTGAGACCGAACAGCTCAGAGGATGATCCTGTCACCTGTTGATACTTTCCCATCGCCTGTAATGTAAGAGACCATCACAGACCTGTACAATGGAATGTGGATGGAAAAGTAAGGACCACTGTCACCTGATTTTTAGGGTATTCTTGGAACCTAAATGTTGTATCAGGCTTGTCCTGATAACACAGTCATGGTGTAACTTCATCCAAGATGAATAACACAAAACGTGGCTGTAACACACCCATTATTCAGGCATATAAAGAATAAATCAGCAGATATGAAGAAAAAGTTGTGGCTTTGCTGAAAGGCCAAGGAAACTGAGTGAAACTGTGGTGGTTATGGCAAGAACAGGAGTGGGGTATCTGTAAGGCAAGCAGAACAGAGAAAAAATGTCCCTTTGCAGTGCACAAAATGTTTTCCACAGTCCATCTTGTGGATTTAAGCTCTCTCTGCTTGATGCATTAGCAGCAAACATTTAGATTTTCATACATTTGGGTTGTGGAACATATTTTTCTGTGCATGGTGTGTAAAATCAGTTCACTGTGACTTGCCTTGAGTTATTGTATGCTGCATGAGCCGTGCGACCAGCCACTGGAAAGCAGTGGCACTGTTCCTGCTGCCTGACTGAATTACTTCTTTCAAATCCTTCGAGATCTTTAAGGACCTTTAAGCATTGCTGTGCAAATACATGATGAGAGAGGATTTGTGGCTGACATTTTTCCCTTTGGAACATTCTAGTGAAAAACATTTGCAAAACCA